CAAGAGTTCAAATTGAATATAAGAAATCTGAGATTTCTCGTAGTCAACCAAGACCAAGAAGATTTCTACAAACTCGAATGACAACAATTCTTGCTGCAGTCTCCAAGCTGAGAGGATGTGTTAACCATATTGAAAATAAGAATCCTAGCAATGCTTCCGAGCAAGACATTGTAAGTATATGTATATACATGGATTATTTTAACTTAATTATCTTTAATTTACTATACTTGCTAATTTACAGTTTTAAAAATTTTAACTTAATTTATTATACTTGCTAACTTATATACATTTTTTCCTGTAAATATTAAATCAGTTAAATCAAGCGAAGACGTTATTAGAACAAGATATCAAATACAACAAAGGATTCAAATTTGATCATGTCTGGCCTATTCTTAAAGATACTGAGAAGTTTTCAAATAACCACACTAGTAGAGCCGCTGCATTCCCAGAAGAAGGTCGTAATGTTATGTCATCATCATCATTCCAAGATGAGTCATCGCCATCATCTGATATGAATTCATTTGATCTAAATATGAATAGTGAAGAAGCCACTGTTAATATATCTCAGAGACCTATGGGTATGAAGAAAGCAAAGAGAAAACAACAATCCGATGAGCCATTTAAACAAATGATGGAGCAAAATGATAGGCTTATCAAAGCTATTGCTAAAGGTACTTCTGAAAAAAATGAGATTCAAAGACAGAAGGTCGAGGTACAAAGAATGAAACAAGAGAATAAAATATTATTCGCAGATTTGAACTCTATAACTGATCCAGCAAGTCGTGAGTATATTAAAAATCAAAGAGCGATCATTCTGAGGAGAAGGGCACCAACAAACCAATATGAAGAACACGGAGAAGGTTCTCAAAGTCAATATCATGGATCTCAATATCGAGCATCCCGTTATCAAGGAGAACAAGCTGAAAGAGAACAAGTTGGTGCCGAACATGTTCAAGGACAACAACCTCAAGGACAACAATCTCAAGGTGAAAACCAAAGATCACCAAGTGACCAACAAGATTATACCCAGTATTATCATTATTTTAGCGGAACCGAAAATAATTATCCTGGGTATTAGAGTATTGTTTAAATTTATATTATGTTTTAAAAGTTATTTTCTTGCATTTAGTTTATGTTTGTTTGGTTTTAATTTGTAATTTTATGTTTTCAGTATTTTAATTAAACTTTAATATGTATTTTTAATCTTAATTAATTTGTGCTTTAATTTAGATATTTTGTCCAAATTAAAATTTCATATTATTAATAATAACAATCTGACTTGTTATTAAAATGGAAAACAAAAAAGAAAATTAAAAAGTGCAAAATTGTTACTGATAAGTTTATTTTTAGTTGAATAATCACAATTTAATTACACTACTTTATAAAACATACAAATAAAATAATACTTTTTTTAAGTGTTTTGTGACTATTCACAAAACACTAAAAACAAAAATTGTCGTTCATTATGGCGTTACATTGGAGCAAAGCCCACGCCATATTTGCTGATTTATCGTCCGCTTGGAATTACTCTAATAACTTATCATCCATTTCAATAAACAAATGATATTATTTTCTTCTCTACATTTAGTATCATGTTTTAAGTCACCAAGTATTGAAAAAGAGTAAAAAGAAGAAGTAAGAGATCTTTATTTCCTTGAAAAAAAAGCATTTTTGGTTTTAGTCTTTCACAAAATAAGTCTATCAGAATAACTTTAGATTGTCATATTGCATTTTAAGGGATGAGTTGTGAAATAGTATGGTGTTCTTCACAAATTAAAAATGTGAATGTTGGATGTAATAAAAAAATTCTGGAAACATAGACAACTCGAGCCATTACTTTCGTTAAGATGTGCTCACAAAGTCAACCCCATTCCTATCATCACGTATGTACTTGCGATTTAAATCATTTGTTCATGTACAATTTTAATATTTCTTAGAGATAGTTTGATAACTATTACAAAAAAAAAAAACACAATAGTAAGAAATTATGAATTTTTAAGAAGTTATGAACGAAAAAAACTCGCGCGTATGCGCGGGTATCACCTAGTCTATTATATAATTAGAGAATTCTCTCCATCTAGAGTGTCCACATAGGCAAAATTATTTTTTTAACATTTAAGTTTAAAAATGCCCATTTAATATACACTAAATGATATTCATTTGTTTTTATAACT